AGAGAGCAGGGAAAGGTCAGAGTGAGAGGGAGATACAGAATCCGAAGCAGGCTCCAGGCTCTGAGCTGTCAGCACAGAGCCTGATTCGGGGCTCAAACCCACAAACTGTGAGATCGTGACCTGAGCCGAAGTCGGATGCTTAATCAATTGAGCCACCCAGGTGCTCTTATTTTTCTTTTTTGTACTGTCTTTGTTCAGTTTTGGTATCAAAGTTGTATTATCCTGATGGAATTAATTGAATAGCTTCCCCTTTTGATTCTATGCAACAGTATGTGAAAATTTTATTACCTATTATTTTTGAAGGTATGGTAAACTCATCTTTAAAACTTTCTGGAGTTGATTTTTATGGGAGAGGGCTGCAGATTTTTTAACAGTTTCAATTTTCTAAGTCTTCTTTGGTTTCCTACATCTTGTGTGTTTGGGAAGTTGAAGCTTTTTCTAGGAAACTGTCCATTTGATATTTTTTCATGTTTATTATTCTAAAGTTCTTTATAGTATTCTCTTAAAGTTTTAAAAATTATCAACTCTGTCTATGGTTGGAAACTAATATTATATTCTGGTCATAAAACATGGATTATACTCCATATATTGTAGATGGACTATCATATGGATAATAGTAAACATACAAAAATGTGATCTGAGTAGAGGACTATGACAGACATCAAATTTTGTCTGAAATACTTAGTTTGTCAATAAATCTGAAATAATCATAACAAAAAAACCCCATGGTTATAGGCCACTGATTCTTTGATATTTGTTGATATTTGCATTACAATAAGTATGCTGCCATTTTGGGAAAGATTCCATGTGTGCTTGAAAAGAATATTTATAGGGCTCTCTGTTTCACATGTTGTCTAAATATTCATCATTTATTTAAAATGGTGTATAAAATTGTATTGTGATTATAGATTTGCCAACTTTTCCTTCTAAGCTTGTCAATTCTTGCTTGAAATAGTTTAAGGTGTGTTTCTAGATGCATCAATATGCATCACATTCATATGTTCATATATGAACATTCATATGAATGTGAACATATGAACATATGAATGTTCATAATGGTAATAACTTCTTTGCAAATTTTTCTTTTTATCCTTATTACTAAAAAATATCCTTATTTTTCATCCTAATAATAATGCATTTGACTTTAGGTCTGTTTTTTTGCCTCTTGACAGTAATAAATCTGTACCAGCTTTCTTTTGCTTGTTAATTGGTTTATATATCTTCCCCTTCCTTTCACTATCAACCTTTTGGTGTCCTTTAAGTTTTAGTTATTATGTCTTGTTAAAAAAGAATATAGCTGACAATCTGTCTTTTAGCTGACAAGTTCACCCCATTTACCTCTTTAAAAAAATTACTTTTGAAGTTTTTAATTTATTTTGAGAGACAGAGTGATGGGGGAGGGGCAAAGAGAGAGGGAAAGAGAGAATTCTCGAGCAGGTTCTGCACCATCAGAATGGAGCCCGATTCGGGGCTCGAACACACGAATCTCGAGACTGTGACCTGAGACCCAGGAACCTCAAGACTGTGACCTGAGCCACAACCAAGAGTCAGGCACTTAGCCAACTGAGCCACCCAGGTGCTGCCTTCTCCCCCATTTAGCTCTTTTAGAGGGTGATTAATGTATTTTTTGTGCCTCATGTTGTATTGTCCATTTTTAATACCTACTACCTGCTCCTTTCCCACCTCACCTTTCCTGCCAGTGGAGTAATTATGTATGCTTTATTCCCTTTCTGACATCTACTAGTTTGAAAATTATACTCAATTTTTTGGCTTTCCATATGTTCTTGCATCTTACCCCTTCTGTTTGGGTTCAATTTTTGACTTCTTGAAGACATCTTTTAGACGTTCTTTCAATAAAAATCTCTTAGAAGTAAATGCTGTTTTTCCTCTGAAAATGCCTTTTCTTGCCCTCACATTTAAATGATAGCTTAACTCAGCATACAATTCTAGGTGGACAGTTGTGATTATTTTATTTAGTTCAGTATCTGAAGATACTATTTCATTGACTTTGAGGTTTTTGTTGTTGTTGCTGTTGTTATTTCAGAACTTGTGTTTTTCTTTCATCTTCTTTAAATTTCCTACAATGTACCTGCATGTGAATTTATTTTGTGTTTCTTTCGTGTGTGTGTGTATGTGTGTGTGTTTCTTTAGGGTATATTCCCTGGGATGGAATTGCTGTGTCATAGAAAATGTTCTTTTTCAGCCTTCTCAGATAATGCCAAATTTTTTTCCGACTGTCTCAAAGCACACTCCTGAGTTCTTACATCTGTATATAACATGTCACATAAATTTTTCCTTGCTTATTTTGTAGTAACTTTGTTAGCAAATACAGGAATACTGCTTCTCAGTGCCCCAAGTAAGAAAAGTTAAAATTGTATGTCATTCATCTTAGATAAAGACAAAGAGAGAGAAAGAGAGAGAAAGGCAGGCAACTCAGCCCAAGTGAAACAATGACCAGATCATTTATAAGGCATTTAACTTAAAACAGACTTTTGAGGGGGGAGGGTGTCTGACCTTTTTCAATTCCCTTGAAAATAAATAAAATAAGGGTTGTTGAAAAACCTTTCTGACTGATACGTGTCTTTTCATGTTCTGAACTTTTCACTATATACTTGACAAGATAAACTTATTCATTAGTTTGTAATCTGGTAAAGAATTGGGAATCTTTTCTAAACGTTGGCCCAAAACTCCCTAGAAAAGTTTTAGTTATGTTTGGTACTTTTTCAAATGTGCCTATTTTTGCATATATGAACTATAGATTTTTAATGGATTTTATTCCTTATCACAGTAATAACTTTATTTTCTTTTCAAAATGAAAATAGGTTTTAATTTGATTCTAAAATTACCATTTGTTTTCTGACTCTAAATATAATAAGGTTTAGAGTCATTTTAACATTTCTAGTTGATCTCAGAGCTTAAAGACACTTGCCTGCATTCTTTTCACTGTTTAGGGAGAACTTTTTTTTTTTTTCCTAGGAGAGAGAGAGAGTGAGCAGGGGAGGGTCAGAGAGAGAGGGAGTCACAGACTTTGAAACAGGCTCCAGGCTCTGAGCTGGCAGTCAGCACAGAGCCTGACGCAGGGCTCGAACCCACGAACCGCGAGATCATGACCTAAGCGAAAGTCGGACGCTTAACCGACTAAGCCACCTAGGCGCCCCTGGGGAGAACCACTTCTAACCCATTTTAGACAATTAGGTATTTGGGTATCTTGTCTTTTTAGTTATTGTTTCAGTCTTATATTTTGGAGGTAGGAAATGCTACAATTTCACATGCTATCTGCCTCTACTTTCAGGAGGATGTAAAAAACAAAACAAACTGTGAGATACGAAGTCCTAAAAGCTAATTGTCTTTTATGTTTTTATAAGGAGATAATTAGCAACTATTAGGATCATGTGTCATTTTAACCCTTCATGTTCTTGAAAACTATAACTAACTTATCTATCAATCTTGCTGTCTAACCTACTTAAAAAAAAATTGGTACATTTTCCCAATCTGTTTTCTTCCAATTTATCTTCATTCGACACAACAGGGAGAATAACTACGTCAGCAGAGAACAACTGCACAATTCTGCATAAATACAGTACAGCTCACACATTACCTTATTCATAGCTAAAAGAACTCTAACTGTTGTGATCTGAAGAGAACAAAGTCAGATTAAAATGTGCTGTACTCAGGTGCTTTTATTTAAGGAATAAACAAAGCTTTTTTTTTAACACGTAAAATGTGGACATTATTATTTTTTGCTTTTTTTGATGTCATTCAAGAAATCTGATTTAACATTAAATGAGTTCGAGATAATTTAATAAAATGCTTATAGAGATATTGTAACTATATTTACATTTATTATACTAGCCTTTATGTAATATTTGCAATTCTGATTTTGTTTGTTCCCCCAACCCTTTCCCTCCCAATTCTGATTTTTATTTGACTTTCTTTAAAAATTTAAAATGTTATTTAAAACGTTTAAATTTTAAAAGTTGTAAAAATTAAAAAGTTATTTAAAAATGTTTACTCATTTCTGAGAGACAGAGCACAAGCAGGGGAGGGTCAGAGAGAGAGAGAGAGAGAGATACAGAATCAGAAGCAGGCTTCAGGCTCTGAGCTATCAGCACAGAGCCTAGCCTGTGGTCTGAACCCACAAACCAGTGTGATCATGACCTGAGCCGAAGTCAGACATTGAACCAACTGAGCCACCCAGGTGACCCTTCATTTATGACTTTCTTAAAGGCAGATCTGTGTATTAAGTATTGAATGTCTTCACAACTGATGAAAATTGAAGAATATTTAGAATAGGTAGCCATATAAGAGAGCAAAGTACCTTTGGTGGCCTTTATTGAATTTTACTTTAAATTTTGTGTGTGTGTTTAAATTTTATTTGAGTACATAATATTCACAAGGTTCAAAATTCAAAAGGCATACACAATTGGGAAAGGTTTCTTTCCTCCCATTCCTGTGTCCCAGCCAGTCAGGTATCCCGAGGGCAATCAAGGTTACAAGTTACATCAGTGGTGTTTTACAGGTGGTTTTTTGGCGCTAACCCCCTTTAGTCCCTCCCTTGTTTAAAAGATAAGGTTGAAGAATGTGAAACCTGTAATGGATTTTATTTTGAAGCCGAAGCAGGACCAGAATTTAGGTTTCCTGGCATTCTAATTTAGGACATTTTGCAATCTTTGCCCTAAGCACATTGCCTCTTTAAAGTAGCTAGTTGGTAACTGGTTAATCGGTGCGGATGTTCCAATCCAGGTAATTTAAATTTCAAAGTAGCTTGGTTTAAGATTGGAATACTCGGGACAGAAGGGTAATCAGAAGGGCGGTAGGAGGACTGTTTTGTTTTTTTTTTGTTTTTGGTCTTGTTTTTGGCTTGCCAAAAGGAGGCTCGGGTTTTAAAAGGCTGACCTAGGGCTTAATCACACGGTTTGACTTTAGCTGAGTCCCGGGGATGGCGCGTGTCAGGCCCAGAGTGCTGACGTCAGCACGGCTCCGAGCCGGGCGTCCGGGTACTCGCTTTCAGCCTTCAGGCTGCTCGCATCTCTAACAACGCGACCCGGACTCTTATCTAAGGCGTTGGTGGGTCTTGATCCCATCCATCCGGTTCTCCGCCTGGACTCCGTGCAGAGGGGATGAGGTTTCGTCCTCGCCCCTTCGGCCGGTCGGGTGAGTGTGGTGCAGGGAAGAGACCTGACGGTGCCAGCACCAGCCCCGCCCAGGGGCAGCCCGCCAGCTGGGTCTCGGGCCGATTGGTCCCAAAGCCAGAGCGGACCAAGCCGGCTGGCCCTGGCCGCTCCGTTTGGTCCCCTCTTGACCCCACAGCTTCCACTCCTGGGGGCAAATGGCGGGTGGTAGGCTTTCACAGCCAATCCCCTCGGCCAGTCTGCCCCTTCCTCTGCCAAAAAGCGGATCCTTCAGCTGCGCTGCAGAAGCCCCCCCTACCTTTCCCTTCCCTTCCCGGGAAGACTGATCACGCGGCTCAGAACGCCGCTCCACGAACCGGCCTTCGCTCCCTGCCAGCTGGAGCCAGCAGCGCGGCGCTGTGCGAGAGTGGGAAGGGCTTTAGCAAACAGCTCTGTGGCCCAATGGTTTTTCTTCGTCTCCGCGTGCCGGCCAATGAGGCGCGCGAGGCGGGACTTCCGTCTAGCCTCGGTGTTGTCGTCCCCACTCGGATTCCGGCTGTGGGGGTCGGTGCGGATATTCAGTCATGAAGTCAGGGTAGGGACTTCTCCCGCAGCGACGCGGTGGGCGAGCCTATTTGCGGGCTCGGGCTTCCAGGTAAGAGCCTCTCTGGCCTCTCGGCGGCCGGGCAGGGGATTGATCCCTCTAGGACCTGCCAGGGGGAACACACCCCCTCGCCGGCCCTCGGTGGCGGCCCCGCTGCTGTGGTCTTTGCTGCTGCTCCTCAGGCTGGGTGCGGAGGAAGTAGGCTTTTTGCGAAAGGTTAAAACAAAACAAAACAAAACCTGACAAAGCCCTCTGTCCTCTGAGGGCAGATTCCCGCTCTCCGCCACCCCCACCCCGGAGTTTGTCTGTAAAGTTGTTTTATTATCTGTTTGGCTCCTCACGTTACCATCCTGCGGTGGCAGGAGCCTGGGAAGATGTTTGGAAGGCTTCTCTTGGTCAAGCACCTGCCGCAAAGTCCCCGGGCGATATCGCTTGACTTCAGTTGCGGGGACTGTGTAGCTTTTGAAAAAAGGAGGACAGTCACCTCCCTTCTTTGTAACCTCCCCCCACCCCCCACTGGAAGCTCAGGTCGAAGGTGGGATGTGACTCTACTAGGGACAGATTCCATGTCCCTGTCCTCTTAAAGCTAGGAGTTCTAACCAGGATACTTACGGAGTTGAACCCGCACTGATGAAAGAACTGTCCCAGTGAGGGAGTGGGCCGACACAAAAGCCAAGCGATCCCCGAAGCATTCAAGCAACTTTAGTGGCAGACACTGAGTGTTCTCTGCTGGTTTTGGGGGAATTCCTCTATCTTGTCCTAATCTGGCGGGAGTAAGTTTCCAAAATTATTGTTTTATCCTCCGTTTCAGCACCGTGGGCAGCTGCTCAGGTTCGTTTCTGTGGCCCCAAACTTGCCCGAGTGTGAAATGTTCCTCCGTGATGCAGCAGGAACAGTGAAAACGAACGCATTCCTTTCAACAATGATCTGTTGTTCTCCAAGGAGAACATCTGCAGCTTTTGATACAATATAAATAAGACGGGTGTGCCTCCAAAGCGTTGTGTGGTAGAGAAATTGAAGATTTAAGGAAGGGCTTTCAAGGGTTTTACCTTTCTAAGGACCGCTTTTAATGGGTTGAGAAGATTAGTTCCATTTGAGAGAAACAAAGCTGGACTCGTGGTAGCTGTTAAAAATAATTTTAAACGGGAGGTAAAAGGTGTAGTGCTGGGGCGCCTGGGTGACTCAGTCCTTGAGCATCTGAGTTCTGCCCAGGTCATGATCTCATGGTTGGTAGGTTCCTGCCACATATCGGGCTTTTTTTGCGGTGACATCCCAAAGCCTCCTGATTGGGATTCACTGTCTCTCTCTCTGCCCCTCCCCCGTTCACGCGTGCGGTGGAGGCGGCGGGGGGGGGGGGGCGCGCTTAAAAATAAACATTAAAAAATTTTTTTAAAAGTATAATGCAGTGTTGTAGTTTGGGGCCCGTGGGGACTTATTAATGCGGTTTTGGAATCAACTTAGTGCATTGACATTAACATTAGAAAGAAAAAATATCCGAGGGCATTCTATGGAGTAAGGCTAAATATTATTTTGAAGCTTTTGTTTCAGTTTTTAAAAAAATATGTGTCTATGAAGAGAGTGATGCAAATGTATACCATGTCATTGTGGTATACATTGGCAAACACTGGATCCCAGATATGGTTGGGTCCAGCTTTCAGCTCTGCCGCTTGCTAAGTCTGTGACATTATCTGTGAGTAAGGGAAGAATTGTAGGAATTTGTTGAAATACAATGTCTGTTACATAGTTAAGCTTCAAAGTTTTGGGGGTCTTTTTTTATTTGTTTTGTTTTTGAAATGTTTGGGTAGAAGCCCAGTTACTTCCGTGTCAGGAATGATAACTGTTTTTATTAATATGTATATTTTTTACTTTGTCGTTATCTGAAACCGGCCAGCATGCTATCTCCATATGTGATAGTAAGTCATATGGACATAATCTTGGTTTTTGAGGTTTAATACTGAAGGGTTTGGAGTAAGTTCTCATCTATCCTTGTTTAAAGTTCTTTCTCTCAAGCATTTTGGAGGGGCCTAAACTGTTAATAGCATTCAACACCCTTCCTTGATATTTTTCTGCATCCCAGGGTAACATACTTATCAGAGCCTTTTCAGGCACTCATTTTAGCAAAGTTAAGATAGGACTAGGAGTATGATAAGTTTATATCTTTGAATTAAGCCGTTTTATGTTTTATAGTTCTTGCCATAAAGATGTATAAAATGAAATGGCCTGGTCAGATATGGTATACTCGCTTCATGTTGCTATGACCTGGAAATGGTTGGTGTTTAAATAAAAAGTCTCATTTTGGACATTTTAAAACCTGGGAGTTAGTAATGTTTAGCAGAAGACAAATGAGTTTGAGTCTAAATAGTGTTTGTATCATTTGACATATTACTCCCATCTGGCATTGCATATGGTAGTTTCATATGACCTAAAAAAGGGAAGAAAGTTAGTAAGCTTTGTTAGTTCCTCAGAAGAGGAAACAGAACTAATAGACAAGTGAATTTCTTTTACTAAAGCTTGGCAGTTAATCATTGTTAAAAATTCTGTATTGTGCAAATATTTATTGAACATATATAAAATATATTGAGCTTTATAAAGCTTTTACCCAGAAGTTGATTTGGGAACAATAAGAACATATAAATGGTATTGTCAGTTTACATTTTATAGCCTATAAATAACAACAACAGTAACAATAGCTAACATTGATTTTTTTACTTCCGGCCAAATACAATTCTAAGCACTTTACATTATGTCATGTAATTCTGTTATTGATGTGGTAAGTAGTATAATTATCCCCTTTTTATAGGTGTGGAAATAAAAACCTTACAAGTACACAACTTGCTGAGTTCACACAGATTGCTAGTGGAGCAACTGGAATTTGAACCTAGGCATCCTGACTATCAAGGGTGTCCATCTTGTGCTACATTTTATTAGAAAAATACAAAATGCTATGGGGTTATTTTGGATTCTTGCTTGTTTACCCATCATCATGTTAGATGGTCTTGGGTAAGCTCCTTTGGCCCTCCATTTCCTCAATTCCTTCCTCAAAAATACAGTATTAACCTATTATGTTTTTGTGGGGATTAAGATAATTTGTAAAGCACTAGACAGAATGTGTTGAAGAATGATATATGCCTCAGCCTTTTTGCTTTTATGTTGAGGATGTGACCATTTGAAAGGTTATTAGCAGTTGAAGGAGGATGAGAGAAGAAACTTAGTTCCTCATAAGGATGCTACCTAAGCAAACAAATGAGGTAGGAATGCAGAGAACATTTGTTGAGGTTGCATGTTTAAGGTACAGGCTGGTAAAGGTCGATCAATACAAAGTATGGAGATCTTTAAATGCCATGATAAAGATTTTGTACACCATTCTCAGTTGAGAAGAAGCCCTCTTTATGGATATGGAATTGGAAGAGAAGTACAATGAAGGAGCTTAAGCCTGGAGGTAGGAATACCATGGAGTTTCACTAGAGTAGTTGAGGCAAGAAAAGATGATGGTGGGATTATAATGAAGGGTATAGATTTGAGAAATGTTGACATCAACATTGGGATGTTAAGATAGTGATGTTATTAAAAGGAAAAAAAAAGATACCATGATGAAGAAGAAGTTCGGGTGGAAGGGAATGTTGGAGGAGAATTAACTGATTAGGTGAGTGAGGGAGAGAGAGAGCATGCGTGCATTCAGGGGAAGGATGGAGAGAGAATCCCAAGCAAGCTCCACGCTGTCAGTGGGAATGGGATCAACGCAGGGCTCCATCTCATGAACTGTAGATCATGACCTGAGCTGAATTCAAAAGTTAGATGCTTAACCGACTGAGCCACAGGTGCCCCTAGGAGGAGAATTTATGATACAGATCTTAATTTTGAAGCTGAGGAGTTGTTCAAATGTTTGGATATGTAAAGTGGGAGCTGGGAGGCTCTGTGTATTTCATAAAAAGAGAAAAGCCCAATTTTTCACACCGTGAGGAGATGGTTTAAGGCAGTCATGCTCCTGTGGGTCAGAATTTCATAGGAGTGATGTGACTTCTGAAGGTCCTTAGGAATGCAGATTTCTCACTTGATAGAGATGTACCCGCTATTTTTCCCTGTAATATATTTTGTGTCCTGGGAGGATGGGGGGGAAGGTAGCAGAGGGGGAAAAATTTGGAAACCTAGCTGTGCTCATATTTATTATTTCAGAAGAGAACCAGTAAATTGGAGGCTTAGAATTCTCACATTAAGAACTTGGAAAGAGGGGCGCCTGGGTGGCTCAGTTGGTTCAGTGTCCGACTTCGGCTCAGATCATGATCTCAGTTTGTGATTTCGAGCCCCAAGTCAGGCTCCGTGCTGACAGCTCGGAGCCTGGAGCCTGCTTCGGATTCTGTGCTTCCTTCTCTCTCTGCTCCTCCCTCAGTTGTGCTCTGTGTCTCTCTCTCTCTTTTTTTTTTATATATATATTTTTTAAT